CAGTTCATGTAACTATAATAGACTAGTTTATTTTTCCTTCGCTACACACTGTTAACACTATCACTTGTTGATGGTTGTAATTGTAGGCTTAAGTTTACTATTAACGTTTTCATTTTGAACTGAAATTTACTTGCTAACGGTATACTACAATTAATCCAATGTAAATATGTTAGGTCCATTGGACTGACTCCTTACTGGAGAAGGAATATTGACTGTAATTCCAAATTTACTACATCTATATGCAGAAAATATGACCAGCTGTATACAAACAATTGGGTGAATTAGAAAGTTATTTGTAGTCAAGATATGTGTGTGAAGTCATGATGTCAATCTGACTCGGACTCTTAATGTTTGCAAGATATGTGTGTGAAGTCATGATGTCAGTCTGACTCGGACTCTTAATGTTTGTGTCAAGGATAAAGATACATTTGTTTATCATATTAGATTTGCATAATCTCTAGAACCTCTGAAATCACATCCACAGTTTTTTTTAATATCCCTGTATATCATATCTGGTAGTTACTCCCTTCTACCATGAGCTGTTACCAAAAAAATGGTTGATAACTCTGACATCAAATATATAATACCATGTTGTATGGAACCCTGTGTAAGGTTGTGGCTTGTGCATTTGACCCCCATCTGTTCACATAGGGTTAATGTACAATTTCACAGCTAATCAATTGAGTAACTGAATATACGTGATAACTAAGACTGATCTGAATCCTTCACTTTGACTGTCACTTTACTAACTGAAGGCTGTCTGGCTCACTTATATTTGTATCTGTATTCTTGATCTAGATATTCTAGAACTATTTCCATAAACATGCCTGATTTTAATGTCACTCATCCTCTAACTGACATCTAACATGGAAAATATAGCTCACAACAGTATTTAGATGCGTATAAAATGATGATCTGATCATAATTTTTGTTTACTTTTTAAGCATATAGAATTAAACATTTGAAAATTCTCCAACAACTAGAAATTGTTTTTAATATTTGTATGAGTATAACCCATAATCACAGGAACATAACCACAAGCTTTATATCCTTTTTACT